GGTTATGCAGTTTCCATTATACAGATCAGTCAAACCTGGTCTACTGCTCTGTATCTGTGATGTAGACATGTTGGCTACGTTTAGTTTTTCATGATTTTACAATCAGACTCATATGATTATTTATTTCTGTACTTTCYGGACTATAAGTCACTCCAGTCAAAGAATTCATCAAGAATAGGAAAAAAACACAATTCTTACCTGACTATAAGTTGCGTCAGAACAGACGTTTAATCTGGATAAACACAATATTACATTACATAGAACATACCTCTTGGGATGCCAAAGAATTTTTGTTAATTAAATTAAACGGACGGATTAATTTGACATGTATCATTTGCAGCGATTGCAACTTTTTTCTCCACACCAATTCAACTAAACAAAAATTGAAGTAAATGGACTGTACTCGTATAGTGCCTTTCTACCCAACCAGGACACTCAAAGCACTTCACACTACAAGTTGTGTCCTCATTTATCCATTCACACAGCACTTTATCAGATCTCCTACAAAGCTAACATGTACAATCATCTATGGAGACTAATCAGTGCCAATCACATTCATMCACTGATGGGACACACATCAGAGGCATTAGGGGTGAAGTGTCTTGCCCAACAACACAACAGAGACAGCTGGACGGGGGCTCGAACTGGTGACCTTCCGGTTCCAGGACAACTCACCTAACCACCCTACCACAGCCGCTCCAAGAAACTAAAAAACAAGTTATAGCACCAACAACAAGCTAACATTAGCTTATCGTCCTGTGTGGTGTCCTGCCTTACTGCTAGATGGTTCAGTACAGTCTTCTGTAATTTTCTCTTCGAGTTCGATGTGTCACAAATAAAACAAAAAATGCATTCTAACAAGCAATTTACGTCTCGTTCCTCATCACATAATTAGCTTTCTTCATTCTCTTCAGCGCGGTGAGAGTAACCTGCTTTTCACCAGTTCCTCACAAGTTCCTCATTCACTCCAAACCTTCTCTCTACTGCTCATTTTATTTAACCAGTAGACCACAGGACTGTCGTCTCAATCCTAGAGCGCCCTCTGATGGTTGCAGACGGTAATGTTTATTTCTTGGTTTACGTCAGTCAGTTTGAACTAACATTTAATGCGTCATGAATAGGAATAGGAAAAAAAAACATACAAGTCAAATCTGGCCAGCCAAATTCTGAAAAATTGCAACTTGTAGTCTGGAAAATACGGTAACTCAGTTGTTAATTAGGACAGCTGTAGTTAAATGTGGAGGGGTTTCTTTGAAGTTTGTGCTTGAAATAACATGCCCTAATATAATTAATTATATTATACAATATACAAAGCTTTGAAAATATCATTAATAAGGCTAAATAAATTGATGACAATCATAAACCCAGCTGTTTTAAAGTAGAGGAAAAAGTTAAATTCTGCCCCGGGGATAGGGGTCTGCTTTGAAGTGCCCTGATGGGACTGCTGTGCTGTTGTCAGGGTGGAAAGCAGGAGTCGTTCCAGCAGTGGGAGGTGATCCCCATCGAGGTGTGTGAYGTGCGGCAGGTGAAGAACAGCTTCAAGAAGCTGGTGAAGGCCTGCGTGCCCAGCTCCCCGTCGTCTGACCCCAACATGAGCTTCCTGCGCCTCCTGGAGGACTCGGAGTGGATGGTCCTGGTCAGTGTTTGTCTTTACAGCGTTATCACCTGCCGCCGAAGGCCCCGGTCTGTTTGTCTGTTAGCAAAATWTCTCATGATTTAAACGTTCAGAAAGCTCAGTGGATGAACGTCTATCACTGCCAACACAAAACTAGCTCCGACTCAGAGCTAATAGCTGAGTTTTCCTCAAGTTCTAGTTCTTTTTATTAAATTCACAAGCTTTAGTTCTTCCACGAGGTGACTGTGACTCTGTGCWTCCAGCTGCACAAGGTGCTGCAGGTGTCGGTGCTGGTGGTGGAGCTTCTGGACACGGGCTCGTCGGTCATGGTCAGCCTAGAGGACGGCTGGGACGTTACCACACAGGTCAGACTGAGAAACCAACCGAGCGTTCATTTGTTGCTGTCGGTGAGGACGAGCCGTTCAGGTGGAGCTGGTCTCTGTGTGCAGGTGGTGTCCCTGGTGCAGCTGCTGTGTGACCCCTACTACAGAACCTTGGATGGTTTCCGGCTGCTGGTGGAGAAGGAGTGGCTGTCGTTCGGTCACAGGTTCAGCCACCGCGGAGCTCAGACGCTGGGCAGCCAGAGCAGCGGCTTCACCCCCATCTTCCTGCAGTTCCTGGACTGTGTTCACCAGGTGGGTTCAGCTTTCAGTTCAGAGCAGCTGTTCACACTGTGATGTCTGCAGCGTTTGTTCTGGTTCAGAACCTACATGCTCTGGGTCTCAGGGGTTTTGTGGGGCGTTAAAAAAATGTTAAATTTGAACCTCAGTTTTCAAGAACGGGATGAGGTTTTGGAAATGGCCCAGCTGGACTCAAYAATAGAGCAACACCTGGAACCATTTTAATAACTATCTGACCGGTCGCTGCTCAGTTGTCTGAAGAGGAACAGAGAGGAAATTTTGTAAAAGCTGCACCCTGTGGACRGTCAGTTTACAGTAAAACATCAATTAATCCAATAAAAAGAGCCGAAATGTCAAGTTGTGGGAACTAGGGCGGAAATCCTGAGGCTTCGTGTGGGTCCAGACACCCCCCCACCCCACCCCCAATTTTGAGAAGGGGGTCTCTGCAGAACATGTTGTCCTGTGGGCGGAGATGGTCCAAATCGTGATTGGTCTTTTTGACGGTGGGGTTTGAGGAGGCTGGAGGCAGCGGGGAGCTTGGTCGAGTCGGGCAGGAAGCAGCATGTTTTTTAAGATTAATTTTAGTCATAACTTGAGAAAAGAAAGTGTTAGCTGCACGAAATTTTAACGTCTTACATGTGAAGGGATGTGTAATAATGTTTAAAACATCCCTAAGCAGCCTGTAAAAAGGTCCCTAAAAATCAGTATCTTTTTACAGGCTGGTCAGGGGTGTTTTGAAAGAGCCATACTGTTACACGTCCCTGCCTCCGGGAGCTTCTTCAAACCCCAACGTCAATCCGACCAATCACGTCTCTTGGGCTGTCTCCGCCCACATTAAGACCTCCGCCAATCACGATTTGGACCGTCTCCGGCCACAAGACAACATGTACTGCAGAGACTCCTACTTGCCAATTTTGGGAGAAAAATAAAAAAGAGAAGGCTCTCGTGCTACAGAGGTTAGAGACCGTGCACCTGGCAAATACCTGATGCCAGAGTTCACTCCTCCCTGCTCTAAGGAGGAGAAAAGAGGGAGACACACAAAAAAAAAAAACAAGCAGGCAAATGAAAATGATCAACCTCCTTGTATTTTTATTGTTCGATTAATTGCTTTATTGCTTATCACCACAGGCCTACTTTTAAGGTAACACCGTTTTGAAACAAAGGTTTGCAATGAGCTACAAGAGTTAGCATGTTAGCAAGTGCATCTTACTACTGGCTAATAACCAACTAATTAACAATCCAACATCAGCTTTTCAGACTCTGAACTCATTCTTTACTAAAGGCAGAGCAGTGGACAAGAATTAATGTGTGGAGTAGCACAATTCCTGTATTTATTGTAAATTATAAACAAACTAGATACCGCATGGCGGTAACATAATGACCCNTTTAAACATTTGTTTAATGTCAAATTGTTGTTTTTTTTCCCTTAAGCCTTCTGTAAGCCCTGCTGGTTAGAGAAAACTGATCCTGTTTGGTTTGTCTTATTCTGCAGGTTATTTATGTCAGATTAAATTAGTTGTTCAGGACAAAGACATCAGCAGTTGTCAGCTTTTCACAGATTATTCTAAAGCTGTAGTTGAATCAAAAACGTTTACTTGATGTTCGACCTTTTAGTCTCATTTCAGTCTGAAAAGACGTTTTTACCAATGACTTCTAAAAGCACCTGAGCTGGAAGTTCAGCTCTCCTTCCTGTTTCTGTAAACAACCTTTACTCAGACGTTAGTTCCTGCTCTTCATATCAGTTTGCTGTTTGTTACCTACAGAAGGCAAAGACTGTTTTTGTCTCTGTTAACAAGATGAACCACTGGATGCATTTTAATTAAACACTCAGGACCAGAGTTAGGTTTCTTCGGTCCACATCAGGGTTTGATTATGCATTGACACCTCCCCATACAAACTGGACTTTCTAGACAAACGAACTTGAGTTTGATTGAGTTTCAAACCTAGTTTACTGGACTGTCAGGTGTGAAAACCGGAGATGTGTTGATTCTCACAAAGGGAAGCAAAAGAAAAACGAGCTCTGAGCTGAGTGTATCTGTCCCATCAGATCCACCACCAGTTCCCCATGGAGTTCGAGTTCAGCCAGTATTACCTGAAGTTCTTGGCCTACCATTATGTGTCCAACCGCTTCCGCACCTTCCTGCTGGACTCTGACTACGACCGCATCGAGCTGGGTGAGCAGCAGCTGTAGTTTGATGGTTAAAGCAGTGGCTGTAGCTCGGTGTTACTGACTCCTCTGTGATTATAGGCGTGCTGTACGAGGAGAAGGGCGACAGGAAGAATCCTCAGGTGTGCAAGTCTGTGTGGGACTACATCGACAGACTCAACAAGAAAACTCCCATCTTCTACAACTACATGTTTTCTCCTGAAGATGAGGAGGTCAGAGCAGCTTCTCTTTACTAAAACCTTCAAAGCCGAGGAGAAAGGAGGTCAAAACCACCATTTGTCTTCTAGGTGTTGAGGCCGTACTCCTTCATCTCCAACCTGAAGGTGTGGGACTTCTTCCTGGAAGAGACCCTGTCGGAGGGGCCATCGTACGACTGGGAGTTGAGGGGCTGGCAGGAGTGCGAGGCGGAGGAGGCGGCTGAGAAACCGGACACCAGCGCCCCCAAGTCCCAGCGGCGCATGGTGTGGCCGTGCTACGACAACACGAACAAGGTGCTGCCCGACGCCATCACCAAGCTGCTGCGCGACCTGGAAAGACTGGAGGCCGAACTGGGACAGACCTCTGACAAGTGGAAGGACACGTGGGACAAAATCAAGACCGGGCAGAGGACTGAGACCAAACTGGAAAGCAAGGTGAGACACAGGTTTGCCTTCCTCACCAACAGACTTCAGGTTATTTTGTGTCCCGCCTCCCCACCTCAGCGTACCCGCCTCACTGATCGCTCCGTCTTCATCCCTCAGCCGTCGTTCTCCAGCTCCCTGCTGATGTCGTCTAACCTCAGCCACCAGAGGCGTTCCCAGGGCGTCTGCCTGCAGGAGAGCGGCGTAAGGTCCTCCATAAGTCTAGGTCTGGACGGTGAGGCCCGCGCCACATCCACGCCCGCCACGAGTCGGCAGACCAGCACGCTGTACAGCCAGTTCCAGAGCAGTGAGAATGAAAACAGGTGTGTGTCCACTATACAAGCTCAGTAACCCTGCAGGTGTTTGGATCCTAATGTGACTCTAGAAGTGACCAGTGTAAGATCTGAAATCACAACTTTTCCTTTCTTGTGTCCCACCAGGAGTTTTGAAGGCATTTTGTACAAGAAAGGAGCTTTGTTGAAACCGTGGAAACCACGCTGGTTTGTTCTGGATAAAACAAAACATGAGGTAGGAGAGTTTCAACCCAAAGGTGAGACTTAAACTCTGGTTCGTGTCTAACACCGTGTCTGTGTGCAGCTAAGATACTACGACTCCAGACAGGACAAAGAGTGTAAAGGAGTCATAGACCTGTCTGATGTCCTGTTGATCACTGCAGGGATGCCTGCCTTGGGAGCGCCCAAAAACATYGAGGAGAAAGCCTTCTTTGATGTGAGTTCACAAGTATTTTACATTCTTTATTTTGTTGGTGGGCAGCAGCCAGAGGAGGTGGTCTTGGCGCTCTGACCGTGGCCTACCAAACCTTGTAGGACATGAGGAGCCTGAGTTTGTGCGTGAGGCTGAGAGGTACTGACTGTAGTTGAGCTGACCASGACTCACAGCATGGGCTCTGGAACCAGTCTCAAGAAGGGCTGGACATTATTCCACTCTGGAGTTGCCCCTGGTGAGAGGCACCGAGCTGGTGTGGGTCTATTTTGGCCCCCCTGACTTGGTGTCTGTATGTTGGAAAAAGAAAAAAATTGTATAGGTCTTCTGGACGGGTTCTTCTCTAATGAAACATTTCGTCTCTTCTCCAACAGACTTCTTCAGTC